TATATATATATGAAGGACTTACGATCTAATACACAAAGTACAATATTTCAATATTGAAAATCGCAATTTCGATTTCGTTAAGATGTGTTTCAAAATTTTATTTCGCTTTCGCTTTCTTGTTTCTATTTTAATATTTGTTGTGATGCATTTGAGTGGTTTTGCCGTTTGCCTCGTCTGCGAAGAGTCAGCGTTGCACATGATTTTTAAATGAAATATTACTAAAAATTGTTACATATATATATGTAGGTGTGTGTGTAAGTGTGTATGTATATATGTATATAGTAGAATACTACTTAAGAACTAAAACTGCTATCAAAACAGGTTTTTTTTTTTCGATTCATTCACAAATAAATATGCGTAGCAATATTTTTTTCTCTTTGTATCTTCCCTTAAAACGTTTTTCATTTTTCAATATTTTCTGAGCAACATTTCTAGCAAAGTGATTAAATATTTTTGTTTAACTATCTTTCATTATTTCATTATGCTTTCCTCTGTTTTTCTTTTTTTTTTTTGTTTTTCTTTTTTTAAGAGTAAAAGTTTTTTTCTATTCTTGTGTGAGGGCTGGGAAATGCATTTAAAGTTTTTGAGCACAACTCAATTTTCGTTAGGGTTGTTGTTGCTGTTGTTCAATACTCTCTTAAGCGGTTTCCATTCACTGTCTTGGTTTAATTGGAATGTCCTGTTATCTGTGTGTGTGTTTTTCTTCACTTTCTTTTTGGCTAGTCTTAACAGTGAACTCAATTTACAGACGCATATCGTCGTATTTGGCAAAAGCTTTGCATAGCGCAAAGGCGAGTATGACCAGCACCAGGTGGGCAATACCGGTGACAATGACGGCAATGATCAGCTCCCTTTGCCGTATCAACCACTCAGTGAAGACCTCATAGCAGCCCTGCAATCAGATCGAGATATTGTGAAACAGTTCAGGTAATCTAGTTCAGCGCACTTCACTCACCTTCATGTAGTAACTGTTGCTCTCGCTGGGATTGGTGGCACAGTCCTCGTCGCGCGGCACCAGCTGTGCGACGTCCTTCAGCCTGCAGCAGGCATCGGGTATGGTGCGATTGCCTTTGGTATTCTTCCACGCCTCCGACTCATCAAAGTCGCGATAGTCATTGACGCCGCAGCAGCCAAAGTTGCCCATCAGCTGGTTCCACATCAGCGAACTGGCATCCATGTTCTCGCCCAGCGTGTAGGTCGTGATTGTTGTTTGCAGAAACTTTTTGCTCTCGCTGCGCACACGCTCCTTGTAGAAGATGGCCAGGCCGCCGGCCACCAGCTCGGCGACCAGCAGCAGTATGAGGAGGGTGCCGTACTGTGGAGATTCAACAAAAAAAGAAGCCAATCAGTGTTGGTAAATGGCAAAGAATGCGCATATTACGCATACGCGCCGCTGACCCAATTTTCACAGATTTGTATGTATACGTATTTATGTGGGCGAGTCGTGCGCATTGCATACAAAAAAAAAATAAGTCTGACCCTGAGCCAAATGTGCAGCATGCGTTAGATACACACACACGGACACATACATGTGTGTGTGAGTTTATGGAGATGTGCGCTGCAGGCCGCGTTGCCAATCTTAAATGCTGAAGGTCAATTTGAAATGCTGCTATGCATGTTTTATAAGCTCTCTTTGCTTTTAGCTACTGCTGCGGCTATTGCTGAGGCTGCTGCTGTCGCGATGGTTTCGGGTTGATAAAGTTCCATGTTCCGCCTGGCAGCATTTTCAGCTAATGTGTCTCAATGAATACGCTTAAAAATAAATAGAATGGCCCCAAACCCAAACCTAAACCCAATCGGTGTTCAGCTCAGCTACGCTGCAGTTTATCATTGAGCATTTATTGCTTTTATGTATCCGAAAACTGAAAGCATTAACAACGGCTCGCAAATGGCATTTTAAAGAGACTCGCGAGACTCCAGAGTGCTGATAATTGGCGCAACACTCTCTAAAAATAACCAATGCTAAGACAGTTTTGGCCATGCTCCGCCACGCCGGCCTTGCCCTCGCTTCAATTACTGCAAATTGTGCTCAATTTTGTGCATACAGATTTCATACATTTTTGCAGAGCATTTCAAACGAAGGGCAAAAGCACTTCGTACGCATGTGACACCCACAAAGCGCCCAGTGCGTTGCCAATCAACTATGGCCAAGCCCCGCTAAGTCTAGCCCCGTTTATAAATAGTGTGTAAAGCACTCGTAATGACCCAGCCAAGTCAAGCCGAGCCAAGCCGAGCCAAGCCGAGCCAAGCCAAGCCAGGTGATAAACTGTTTATTAATTGCCGACACACGACGTTGCTTTATCATAGAAATTTCTTTTAGGATTGGGCCCTCAACAGATATATAGATCTCTATATATAGTATATATATATATATATGTATTTCTGTGTGTGTGTGCTTGTGCATCTACATGTTTATTTGTTGCTCAAGTGAAATTACAATTCCAAGCACACAAGTTCAAGTACAGACAGAGTCCAAAGTGAAGGGCTTGTCACGACACTTGTTCAGCGGCTGAAAACACGTTCCGAAATGGAAATGCCAGATGTTAAGATCAGCGAAAAGAAGGCCTACAGCATGTGTGTGTGTGTGTACCCACAACAGCCACAACTTTCTCTGGGTGCCAAACGATTTTCCAGCCAACTGCCATGAAAAGCCAATAACAAATATCTAATGTTAAGCTATGAAAATTCACAACTTGTTTTCATAAACGTGCAATGAATAATAATTTTTGTTGCATTTGTTGTTGTTGTTGTTATGTTAAATGTCTCCCGCGGCGCCAATCTTGTGATGCAACAGCTCAGATTGGGCAACAGCTGAATGTAGCTATGGCTACATAGCTATGGCTATGTCTGTGTATCTGTGTCTGTCTATGTTGCTCTCTAAGAATTGTATCTACAGCTGCGGAAGTACTTTATCTGTATATAAACGTATATGTATTTCTTTTTGTATCTGGTGTCTGAAATAGCAGAGATACTGTTTCTTTACATGAATATCTGTGAGTTACTAATAACCAAGATACTGTATCTGTTTCCGAGTATTGTTTGCTCTTTGATTGTTTGACTGTATCTCTATCTGAAATAGTATCTGTATCTATGCATCTGTATCTATGCATCTGTATCTATGCATCTGTATCTATGTATCTGTATCTATGTATCTGTATTTATGTATCTGTATCTATGTATCTGTATCCATGTATCTGCATCTATATACATGTATCTGTGTATTTGTATCCATTTATCTGTATCTTTTTACAAGTCTGTTACAAGAACATCTAAACACTTACCGTGGAAAGCAGACAGCGAGACTCACGCATGGCGCCCAAATAGCCCAAGAGGCTCAAGAAGAACATCACGGCTCCGATGACGAGCAGAACGTAAGCCATTTGCTCTATGACCTGAGTCTGTGTAAAATGCTAAATGAAAAGAGAACAAAGAGAGGAAGAAGAGTTCAGTCAGTCAGAATTGGAATTGAAATTTGTCGTCAGCCACTTTCGGACCGTATGTAAATGCATAGGAATGCGTACGATACGGCGTATACGTAATTGTAATTAACCTTTCGACTGGCGCAGCTTTCGCAACATTTGTAATTAAATTAAGTGAAGTTATCTCAACCAATTGACACACAAATGACAGCTATGACATACTTAAGTACTCACCAAAGAGCTAAAAAAGAAAAGCGTGTGGGCCATAAATACCTATAAAATGAAATTTGAATTGAAAGTTTTTGTCAGAGAAACGCGGTTCATTGACCAAAGCGTGCAACACCCACACAATGCCGCAATAGTTCAGTGAGTCAATTAGCCTTTACATGGCTGCAATTGCAGTTTCTCATTAGCAAAACGTTCAGCGAGGACATGCACTTTGTGCGCCTTGGTGCATTTGTATTCCGAAATCCATTTGTTGTGTGTTCCTGTCTCTGTGGGTTGATTAGTGACTCGAAGCTTCGTTCAATTTGTAACTGTTGTTGCGACATGACATGCAACTGCGCAGCAGAATTTACCAATGCCAATATTACCCTTTATATATGTATATATAGTTCATTCTATATATACACCAGAGTCGAACATTTGAGATATTTCATTAGCTAGCAGATTACAGGTAGCAAAAAATGCATCAGATATGCAATTTCTCTAATGAAGGCTAACCAGAGACAGTTTACCTCTTTTCATTGCTATTCTATTGGAATTTTCTATCCGTCCGCAGGAATGCTTCGCATTTCCTATGACACGGAAATTGCGGTTTGCAATGCCTATCAAAAGTTTAGCTCTCAAATGCGTTGTTATTATAATTAAAGAGGGTTGTATAGAATTTTATGGTACTTTTCAATGTACTTTTATATGCATGCACTGTACGACAATAATTTTTAATTTTTAATCAGAGCAATGTAATATGATTGTGCACAATTTTTTTAGACTGTTAAGTGACTGATAAAGTTTATTTTTTATGAGAATTATCAAAAAGAAGTTCAAAGCTATAATTTTGTATTTGTCCTAGTCAAACATGGCTAAGCTCTTTATTTTTCTGTATTAAAGCGTATATTACGCATATGTAGCTGCACTTTAATTGCCTAGAGCTACTCTGTCTAATTTTCCATTGGGGCAATGTCAACAATTACGGTGCACGTGATATTGTTGGGGGACTAGTCTGCAATTAGAGCTCAACTATACAAATAGATTGAATATACTGCTATGTTTGGGGTTGATTTTTTTTTTTTTTTTTTTGTCCTGCACTTCAGTTACTTATGAAAAATAAAAGTAGGTAATAACATTATAGATTTGGGGATTGGGGTTTCTTTTCCTTCTGTTTGGGGTGTTTCCCCCATCGACTCTCGCCTGGAATCGGTTATGAATACTCACCTCGATGCGTTCGCTCTCGACGAGCTTCAGCAGAGCAATCAGCGAGTGTTTATCCACGGCGAGCCATAGTCCAACTCCGAATATAATTGTGCCTAGCACCTGCAAGATATCAAATAGACGAAAAAAGGTGTTCGCAGGTAATTCACATTATGGAAAAGTAACCCTCAGCTTGGCTTGCCATGCAAATTGTAAGCATAAAACACAGAGCGTACACAAAACATGATTGTGTTTATGTTGCTCGGTCATGTTGATTGCATTTCATGTTGTTCATGATTATGACGATAAACAACAACAACAACAACAGCGAGAGCAACAACAACAGCGAGAGCAACAATTGCTGTCAAGTCAATGAACCACACAAGTGTGGAAAAAACTGCGCATGCGCAGAGATTTGCTTGATTGACTGCAGCCGCGCCTCCAAAAGCAACAATTTGCAATGCAATTTAACCAAAGCCCCACCAGAGAGCAAGAGATAGAGATAAAAAACTGTAAAAATTAAATAAATAATAAATCGAGAAACAAATAAGAGAAAAGCCGCAGCTCAAACGGGTTTCCCTTGGGAAATTTTTGCACAATTATTTTTGAATAAATATTTGAAATATTTCTTTTTATGCCTTGTTTAATCAGTTAATTCGCCATTTATTTATTTGTTCGTTTTTGAGCTCTAAATATGGCAAGCAAAATAATAAATAAAAGTATAATTGGAATTATATGAAAGTCATTTATTATTGTTGTTAACTGCTGCTGATAATTGTGAATGAATTTGCAATTAATAATTAATCTAGAAATGTTTCGCTTTTATTTCTTAAATTTAAATTTAAAAAATATTATTTATTGTAAAATGTTTTTATTTATTATGTATATTATTTTCACTAAAATATATTAATATGTTATTTTTATCTATTTATGGACAATTATAAATTTATGTGGAGCAAATTAATTGCAAAAAATTTTTTCTCTAGAGTAAATAAAGATAAAAATGTAAAATATTGTTCATGCTTTGTTGAACTAAATAATTTAACATTAATAAATAGTTTTTAGTTGCTTAATTGCTATTGCCTTTTGGAGTATCTTGTTTTTAAATACAAAACTTTTAACAGTTATATAAATTAATCATTTCTTTATAGTTTATGCTTAAACTATTTAATTTTCCATACTTACAAAAAATATGAAATTCAGTATACAAAGCAAATACTTTGCACACCAAACACCACAATCGAAGACCATTTTCGATGTTTTCGAAATTTTGGGGCTGTTTTTAATACAAACTCGAGCTGCAATTAGAATAGAAGGGAAAAAAGAATGTCAGTATAATGTATACAATTAATTTTAATTATATTAAGATCTTTCTGCATTCATTTCAAGTGCCACACAAAGGAAAGTCTCAGGAAATGCATAAAATGTTCAATGGAAAAGCAAATATACAAGAAAATGGAAATGTGTGTGTGTGTGCGCGCGCTTGACAACTTTAGTAGTTATCAACTGAACTATGGTTCGTGTCCGTGACTAATAAATTAACATGTGAAGCTGGCGTACAAAATTTCATATGCGAAGTAAAACAAGAAAGGGAAAATTATGACTAAAAAATTAACTTAACAAATATTCTAATTAAAAGTTAATGAGTTGTAAAGCTTCTCTAATATATATTAATTGATTGCCGTATATAAATGGAAATTTAACTCATATTCCTTTCTATCTCTATCTGGGCTTCTGTTCCAGCTGTTGCCCTATCGCCAGCTTCTTTTTTCAGCAATTAACTTGATTAATTTTTAACGAACTCAACTAGTTTAATTAATTCTTCATTCGCTCAATCTCGGACTTAAAGCGCTGCCTGTGACAGTCTCATAAGCCAAATGAACTTTCTCATTAAGAGCAGCAACTACTTTAGAGCGGTTCTGGCTTACCTACTTCTCTCTCGTTCGCGCTCTCTATCTCTCCCCCTCTCTGTCACTCTCTGTGTCATTCCATATAAGCATGCTTTGACGCTCATAGGCACTTTTCTTTTCAGCTGCCTGCGTCAGCCGCAGCAGCAGCATGTTTCATATWCCCTATAATCTCAAGTATGCATGGGCCATGTTGACTCTTAAGGCTCATGAATGAATACGAGCATAAATATTTGCCCATTGCCTAATCAATGGTTTAGGCCACGCTTTAGATTAGCTAATCAGTGTACATACCCTGCGCGGGGCATACAAAAACAAGTTTTATTAACTGTATTCATCTTCTGAACAGCCCATAGAGTATCCAAGAGCTGTGCTCATTCGCCTCGAGCACTTTCAACTTGTTATAAACATGTTTTGCTGCCTTACCTAGTTCTATGCTAACGTTTATGCTGCGCAATTAACGAAATTTTATTGATCGGGAAATGGCTTTAATGAAATGTGCATGAGCGTGAAGTTAGCTGCGGCTGTGCGTGAAGCCAACGCCGGCAGTGCGTGAAGTTGACTGCAGCTGAAAATTTATTTTGGCTGCGCTTCACATTTTAGCTTTAAAGCCAACAAACTGCTAGAAAATGTTGTTAATGCAGAGATTTTCATGAATTGCACAATGCATAAACGCAGTTTGTATGCGTGTGTGTGTGTGTGTCAGCGCACACAAACAATGTCACGAGCCATTGATGCTAGAAAAGTAGAACAGTCAGCGGCTCAGAGGCTGTGGTTGCTGCTGCTGCTGTTGCTGCTATTTCTGTTGTTGCCAACTGGCAAACATTTTGCTTGCCAAGTTTGGCCTAAAAGCAAGTCAGCTCCTTGCTGCCAGCACCTCCTTCTGTTCCGACAGCATAATCCTTTGGCAACCCACACACACACCGGCATATACACACAAAGTGTAATCCAGTACAAGCCGAGTGCAGGTACTAAAATGCTTAAAGGTTTTATGCTGCCATACACAGAGAGAATGATAGAGAGAGAGAGAAAGAGAGAGAGAGAGAGAGAAAGAGAGAGAGAGAGAGCGAGATGGAGCCATAGCCCTGATTATGACCGACAACCCAACATCCGGCCACCCACTCAACAGTTAGGCAAATTTTTCTGTCTGTGGAAAATTTGTTGGCAAGCAACAAAAACAAAAACGAAAACAAAATAAAAACAGGCCAAGTTTTTAATTGCTTTTTTTTTTTTTTGGCCATTGTTGAAAGCAAGCTGAGAAAACTCTCTCAGCTTTATGAATTTTGCGAAAATTGCGACTGCTGGCTGACTGACATTGAGAGAACATGGCAAATAATTAATACGAAATTACACAACACATATTCTGCATAGTTAATGATAAAATAACCTAATCACATTTCCATTTGTCTGCCATTTGCCGTTTGATAAGAGCTTTGCGGTGCGCCAGGTTTAAGCACAGACAGAGAAGCCCTCAAAGGGTTTGCCGCCCAGTGCACTATGCTGCCTCACATATGCCAGGCGAGTGGCTAAGTGCTTGTCATTAGCATAGATACAGATATACTCACACACACACACACACACACATACATATATACAGCTGCGTTAAATTCTTGCAATTAGCTTTGAAGTGGCGCATGCAAAATATTAGCACATTTTCCCACAGCTAATCAAAGAGAGAATTCGAAACTCGAGTTACTACTCGAGGCATATTTTAATATCTATTTAGCTACATCTCTCTCACTCTCCCCTCGCTGCGTTCATCTCTATCTCTGTTTGCGTCTGCCTTGGCAACTCAACTATCGAAATTGGCATACAGTTTTAATTAAGGTCCTCCGCTCTGCACTCTAATTAAGTCGCATTTTGTGCAAATACTTCCAGCGTTGTTAGCTAGATAACTGTGGATACAATCTGCTGGCAAGCCATATTTATTTATTCATATATAACTGGAATACAATTCGATTTAGCTGCCGACTACAACAATACGGCGAAGCTCGTTGTATAACGCTGCAGATTGACTGCAGCATACTCGCTCAGGTCTAAAGCTTAGAGGTCTATCCTGTGCCTATCTTATCTTTTTAACTTCACTTTATCATATGATGATAGTTGATTATAACATGATATATTTCGCTTTTTCTTTCAATTCGTCAAGATCTGCAGGGAATTTTTAAATTTAGCTCTAAATCAATCTGTAGAGAAGACTTTGAAGGAATATATATGAGTATGTAAATGAGTAGATGCAGAAGATTTGACATAGAAAATAGTCTGAATATATAGAGACAGATATATAGTCTAATATATAGCCAGAGACTGCTCGCAAATATATCGATAGATAACTCTCTGCCAACTCTGAGCCAACCCGGATATTACAAGAAAGCCAATATGCTCACTGCACGCATGCATGAGCGAGCATAGAAATGAATTGCAAATTTGTTGGCAAAAACTAGGAGAGCTATTGTTAAACATTTGTTTATGAAGTGCGCAATTAAATGCTTGCATGTAATTTAATATTTTTTTTTTATTATTATTTGTATTTGTATTTGTTGTTTTCATCTTGCTATTTGCCATAGAAAGTTGTCGTACAATGCACATTTTGGGCGATGGTGGTGCAGGCTTGCGGTGGTTGGATTGAAGTGTGATTAAAATTTCTATTACAATGATGCGATGAGATGAGATTGAGAGCTGAGACTGAGGCTGTGGCTGAGAGACTTGCGCAGGTAATTTATTTGTTGTTGCGCCTCGAAATGGGTTAAAGAAAGTCGTTAGTTGTATTAATTAAAAGGCAAAAGTTAAAAGGTTTTTTCTGCTTCTTCTTTTTCTTCTGTTGCTGTTGTTGTTGTTGTTGTTTTTGCAACATGTTGAAACTTCTTTAACTGCTGCTCGCTCTTAGCGTGCATAGTACAAGTTTTTGAAGTCTAGTCTTAGACGAAAATAAATGATTTCTTTGGACTCTTTTGGACTCGTTTCGTTCTCATTGAAAGGGCTGAGCTGGGGGGCTCAGTCGTACTTGTCACGTCGCCTCGTCTGCTTGCCAAGAATTTAGAAATTGTATTTATTGACAATGCTTTCTACTTTGGAACGAAACTACAATTCGTTCGGCTCAGAGCATAGAATCGTAAAAGACCAAAGAAAATAAAAACAAACTCTCATGCTCATGAAACCAAAAGTGCTTGCAGCTTCTATTTCAGCTCTTCCATCAGCGGCTTCTGCTCATCTTCAGCGTGAGAAAGATTTACATTTCTCTAGCGCTGCTTCTCCGCTGCTCTTTGGGTGGCTTGTGCTCTGCAATTAAATGATTTACTTTATAATGAGACTTAATTGGGTCAGCAGGGTCTGCTCATGATACCTGCCGTCACCCGTCTATCTGCCCTTCCATTCCCACATACTATGTAATTGCCACAAAATCTGCACCGTTAAATGCAGTTGGCTTGGGATAATCCCCACTCCCCCCCCCTCCACTGCACTCACTCCTAATTAACATATATCATACTCAACTACTTCATTTAGTTGGCAATTGCAGGCATGTGGGAACTGCTAGTGCCTTATATAAGAACAAAAAACCAGAGCTGCTCCAGGCATATGTTTGAGTCTCTGTGAACGGAGCAAATAAAAGAAGAGAACTTGGGAGAGCTAATTAAAAGTTTTGCTGTATTCGGATAACTTGTTGGGGCACATACAAATGCATATAATAATCTAATATATGTATTGGAGAGCTGGTTATGAACGAAACATTGAATGAATCGCTGTATGAGGGACAGATTGATACGCTGATTGAATGACAGACTGAACGAATGGATGATGAGTTGAGTGATTGAGTGGTTAATTGAATTACTAACTTGAATGACACTGCTTGACTGACTGATGGAATAACCGACTCACAAACTGAGTGATTGACTGATTGAAGAGCTCTGTTTAAAAATAGATTTACCTTAAAAAATACTTATTATCTCTTGACTGATTGTTCGAATGATTTGATTTACTGGAAAACTGACTGCAAGACTTCCCAATAAAGATTGACCGTGAATAATCGAATCGCTGAATGACAGATTAAGTAAATAAATGATTGCTTTAATGCCACTAAATTACTGACTGAGTGATTTGCTAACGCAGACACTGCCTGACTAAATGAAGAACTCACTATGAATGACTGTTGTAAAACTGGACTGATTGTCTAATTGGCCCTGATTCATTCGCTTTATGATGATTATCAGCTCAAACAAGCATTGACTGCCTGCTGATTGGGGAAGGGCTAAACTTTTCTGAAGATATTATAACAATCATGCTTTCAATTTGCCATGCATTCATTTCGGCCCCAGCTACGCCGGATAAACTTCTTCAATGTATGCGCAAACTTTAGCATGAAAATAAAACTTATCTGGATGGCTGCCAGAATG